AAAAGCGATACAAACAATCTGGTAAATTAATGATATGAAGCATTAGCTTAGTGGTTGAAACACTTGGATTCAAACTAGCACATCTCATATGAGTTCACTCATCTTAACAATCAAGTATCATTGTACTTCGTGCAAACAACATAACTGAAAGTTAAATGCCTAAATCATTATTTGTTACATAAGTAAATCAATTAAGGTTACAATATAATACATCACAGGATATTTGTATTAAACCAATGTCTATATGGTAGATAAATGAATAAAATACTGTGAATAACCTTTTGATGGAGTTTTGTACACTGAACTGGATGGTTTAATCGTGGAGCTTTCATTGTTCTTCTGAACGACATCATCAGCACAAATTTCAAGTAAAAGTGAAGTGTTTAAATTTCTCAACATGTAGCTCACAGCTTGTCCTGATTAACGTTTTAGAATCTTCACGATAAAACAGACTTATTATTGACTATGTACATTATAGATCATTTCATAAACACTTAATTTTTGGACAATCTTAACTATGCAGAATCTAAACTGATTATTTGTAAGTGCTATTAGTCACCTATTCTAATAAGCAAACCTTATATTATATAAGAACTTGGCTTGTATTGGAGAATGCTGACCAGCTACCTATACTCCGTTGGGGATAACAAACCTAAGTACGTAATACCATATAGGAATAATTTTCTCTTTGCATAATAATCTTTTGTTTTGTTTAGTTAAAGGAACAAAACACTCAAATATATTGACATTAGTTTAATAAATAAATAAATACGTAAACTTTTTGATGGAGTTTTGTTCTTTGAACTGGATGGTTTGGTCGTGGAGCTTTCATCGTTCTTCTAAACAACCAAATCAGCACAAACTTCAGATAGAATACGTAAGCTTTATAATTACTCTTTTGTTCATATTTAAGGTTGTATAAAGTCAACTGCTGTTTATATAAATAAAACTTGTATGGAGATACAATTGTTTGGTAGATTTGTAGATTGACATTAACAATCAAAACAAATACGATGTCTTCATACAAGTAAACTAACCCTATGTGTTATGGAATAGAAATAAGAAGAAATTAAGCTGTACACTCATATTTATAGTTGGTTAGTTTCTCAACCCATCTCAGAACATTATCTGGAGTAGATTTTTCTAGAAGGAGAATGCAAAACAATTATTAGACCAACACCGGAGCACCCAATCCACTCTGAACAAGTCGCTACAAAGAAGATTTCCTTCAAAATAATCTTCACAATCAAAGGAACTTGATCAAAAAGAGGCTGGATAAAGAAAGTTTATATACTACTGAGGCGTTGGTGACTAACCAGTTCAAACGAGAACTCTTCGTACAAAAATGATATATCCAACATTCATGTTCTTTCATTTCCCTTCAAATTTGTTAAGAGGATAATGATCCTTCATAATTCTGACACGTAAATTGTTTTCTACCTTATTTTCTTTTTTAAATCCCTAATTGTTACGTAACCTCGTTTGATATATGAAGTCTCGAATTACTTTATAATACAATCTTTCATATTCTTCTACAGAAATATCAACCAAATAGCTATGAATGAGGATGTACAGCTCCGTTAAATGATTTCATCGGTGGCGTATGAGCCAACTCGATTTAATCAAGTGTTGATCAATATTTATAATCACACAAAAACAGCTACAGACATCTGATGAATGGGATAAATAGGGCACACATATATACGCTCATACAAAAACAGTCAGAGTTGTATTAAGTGAATAATCGATAAGATTCAAATATGACTTAAGAAAAATGGATAAATTGAACTGTCCAAAAGTTAGAATAAGTTATGTAGGCTTTACATAGTAACTTACACTACAGACTCATCAGCTGGATCGACTTGATTCCTGTATTGAACATTAACACTAATATACAGATATATTCAGGTGAAGAATCTCATATAGGATAAAATATACTGTCTAATTATCACTGCTAACCATAGTTAAAAGTATAAAATTTTAATTTGATTAACGCATTAGAAAGTTGTATTGAAGAAAGTATAAACTTAATGTATAAGATAACAATCAATTCTAGTTCAACTTAATAAAATGGGTTTTGTGGAGATATTAGAAATTTCACTGGTTGAAATCATGAATCAATTGAAGCTAGACCACCATGGAAAACCTAGAAGCACTGGACGGTCGTTTTGTCCTAGTATGGGACACCTCAGCAGTGCGCATACACGATCCCGCCCCCCGCTAGATTCGAACGCAGGACATATCAGTCTCGTGCCAGACAACAAATGCAGCTTCAAATGAGTTACATCATCAATGAACCCTATTATTACAAAAACAAATGAACTCCATCAGTATAACACAACAAAGCAGACTCAATAAAATACTTTATTTTATAAACATGGTGATAATACTGAGTAAATTGTATAAATCAATAAGAGTATAAAATCATGACTGTATATCTGTGTTTCTGTATTAAATTAAACTTTGCCTAGAGCCCGTCTGGGGTTACTGTCAGTCCCAAGCCCGCGTAAAGAAGGAGGGATGGGCATGAGGTTACCGACCCCATCCCGTAGAAAACTAACTCGCCAAAAAAACACTAACCCGAAAAAAAGTAATTCAAACCGTATTAAATTTATGTAAGCATTAATTGGAGTTATGTTCATTACTAGATTTTGATGCATTAATGTATGTGACTAGTTCATTTGTTAATGAAGAATCTGTCACATAGTTGTGAGAAAATGATTCAATATGTACTAATCGAACACATATTTAGTTTAATACTATTAAGTAAATTTATAATGTCAACAAACTATCCTCAATATATCAATACTTTCTAATGATTCCAATGACTGTAGGATTAAATACTACTTATAATAATAGAATTTAGAAGTCCACATTTGTCATAATCAAATGTGAATTGATTTCTAAGAAGTCAAGAAAAGACACTAAAAAAAATAAATCATCATTCCAGTTTGTTCTAAATAAAGACAACTTAGAGCCTACAGTCATATATACATACATACACAGAGTTGTGTTAAATGATATCGAGTCATTTAATGAGTGTAAATTGTTACAAAGTAAAAGACGAGTATATTTTGAGACAGTTCGTTCTGTTCAAATTTTTACAGCTGCGAAACATGACCATTGAGAGTTGAAGATACTCGTAAACCACTAGTATTTGACCACAGATGTCTTAGAAATATTGCTGGCATCTGCTGAGACCACCGGGTAAGTTTAGATGCAGGGTATAAGAGAATGGTGGTAAATCAATTGGTGAGGTTGTGAATCTTTATCGACTGAGATGGTTGGGCCACATGATATGTATGCCGGAATAAAAATTACCACGACGCGCAATGTTAACTAGTGTTAGAGATGGTTGGAAGAACTTTGTGGGCAGCCAAACCAAGATGTGATATCATTCCACAAAATCACTAACTTCTAGTTTTAGCCATGTTGATAGATACACACTACATGGTTGGGGTCCACGTGACCATTTTAATTAATGGTTGGAGATTTTGGATGACATGACTCAAATTTGATCACAATGGCGTTGTTGTATACACTCTCTGTCTGTCTTTAAACCGTGAGATCAGAATTACTTTATACCTTTCTTCCTACGAACTAATGCATTTTTTCTTTACTATATCCTTATATGCAGTCTTTCTTTTATATAATAGTACGATTGAATTAACTACCTCTATGAATTTGGTGTTGATGTTGTTGTGTTAATGAGGTGTTGTAACTTGAAGCGATGCATATATGTGCCTAGTTCTACATTGTAGCCGACTAACTGAATTAGCATAGTAAAATTAATATACTTTTAGTTAATTTAAAACATCTTAGACATTCATATCAGTCAACAATTGTTGCGTTACAATTCCCACTCACTTTCACCAAACATTCACCATCTTACTATTAGGTATACTTTAAAATCACAAGTGAAAGCCATTACAATGTCATGGATCTTAAAAAATTAATTCAATAACAAATTACTAGTCAGTATACATACCTCACTTAGTAGTTCATGGCGAAAAATATAATCTTACATTGTAAATGAATGTTTTATATGGAAATGGATTCTTATATACCCCTAAGTTCGATTCCTGATTTGTTGATGAATAGATAGTATTAAAATTAAGGTGTTTTTTGTGGATATTATAGTAGTTTTAATAGTTGAGATCATGAGTCAATTAAAACTAGACCATCATAGAAAAGCTGAAAAAAGTGGACGGCTGTTTCGTCCTACTGTGTGACTCCTCAGCAGCACACATACACTATCCCACCTGAGAAGATTCGAACAGAAGACTTATCATTATTAAAATTCCCTTAACGAGAACAAAATAATTATCTACTGTTTTTTTGTTTTTCTGTCGAATAACACTTTTTTTCTTCTATCAAATCTAATTTGACAAATAAACAAAAACAAATAAACGAAAAACAATATAAAAAATAATTAATCACAAAATTGATCAAATAAATATTTCAATGATTGAATTTATGAGTCAATTAAGTTAAACAACCATGAAAAACCTGGAAGCTAGATCAGCAGTTCCTGGGTTCAAATCTCGTGGAGGAGGGGAGGGCGACAGGATCATGGATACAAACTCCTGAGCAGTCTTACAATAGTAGGAAACGGCTATCTAGTGTTTCCAATTGTTTTCCATAATGATCTATCTTCAATGAAATCATGATCTAAATTATTCAAATAAATATTTATTTTAAACAGTTTAGATCATGAGTCAATTGAAGCTAGACTAACATGAAAAACCTGGAAGCACTGGACGGCCGTTTCGTCTTGTCGTGGGACGACTACGCCTCACAGGATTCGAACCTAGGGCCTATCAGTCTCGCGCCAGGCGCTTAACCAACCAGATCACTGAGCCGGCATCCAATTGATGAGGAGTTCCACAACAGGACGAAACGGCCATCCAATGCTTCCAGGTTTTCTATGATGATTTAGCTTTAATTAATTCAATTTTTACAAAACCTCTTTCAAATAAATAATTATTTATATCACTTACCAATTGGTACAAATATTGATCTTGATAAAAAAGGGAATGATAAAAAAAATATAGTACGTTCCACATCTACATTATAAATTTGTTGATAAAATGATTGCATACATACTGATGATATTTGAAATGTCCAATCATCTGCAGCATATGTAAATAATATAGCATATACAGGACGTGATGTAAATATTTTATTCCATGGTATTTGAGTATAATTATGATTATATAATATACGATTAGATATTGTTGATTTTAAATAATTTAATTCATATTTATTTAATTTTTTATCTTTATTTGGTTTTTCATCAATTAATCTCCACCAAAATATACACCATATTAAACCTAAATTAGCATAGATATAAAATACAACACCCCAACCCCATTTTTTTCAATTTCAGCACATACAGGTAAACCAATTAATGGTCCTAATGATACACCAATAACAGATAAACATACTAATGTTGAACGTTCATTAATAGGACTCCAAAAACGTAATATACCAAATACTGATGGTATTAAACAACCTTCAGCTAAACCTTGTATTAATCTTAATAATATAATCATAATTAATTTTGCATTAATATTATTACCTATAGTTTCAACAAGTGGTAAAAATAAATTCATACCACATGTAATTGCTACAGAACTACCTAATAAAAATGATGAATCATAATTCACTGTTAAATAACCACCTATTGGACTTGTTATTAAATAAGCAAAAAATACAGAATTTTCTACTATATCATTTTTAATTGTTTCTGTCCATGGCATTTTACGATGTTCTGATGGTTTAAATATTAATGATGTTGTTGGACGTATATTATCTAATAATCTATTTGAATCTGTATGTAATTCATGATCAATATCCTCATCATTATCTTCTTCTTCTTCTTCATGTCCACCTTCTTGTTGTTGTTCTTGTTCTTTCTTTGAATAGATAGATCCATTTATATTGATATGATTCATTTGTTTTGATTTATTGAATAGATTCATATGATTATGAAGATAATGATGATGATGATGATTATAATCTATTTGATATTTCATATTTGTTGTATATTTAATACCAAATGTTATACGTGTATTAGTATTATTTAAATTTGTTATAATACCTAACATTTCTGATCTCATACCAATAACAATAGTAAGACATGTACAACATAAAAATGCAATTAAATAACGTTTACGTCCTGGACCACAAAATAATGCATTATTTCTAGTTTTATGTTTATCAATAGAATGTGTATTATAATTCAAATTCCATAGATTTGATTCATTATTATTATGATTCATTCCATCTGGAATAGTTAATAATTGTCCATTCGTTTGAAAGATTTCATCAGTAAAATCAGTAGTATTATTATGAGTAGTATTAATAATATTTGGTATATTTTTTATATAATATTTATCATTTGGATATGTAATGAATGGATTTTTATTAATATTATTAATTTCTATAGCTGTAAGATTTTTCAATTGTGGTAAACCAGTGATAGATGGTGCTCTTAATGAATTAGATGATTGTTGTGATGAAGAATTCGATGATGATGATGATAATACATGACTAGTATTACTATGCAATGATTTGATTGATACAATTTCACTATTATATACATTCATTATTTTATTTTATTGTGAATAAATCAATACTCTTTTTGTTGTTGTTGTTGTTATTGTTTTAATCAATAATCAATAATGGAATCCGTATTCGTTGAACTGAGAGAAAAAAAAAGAGAAACATCTGATGAATACTCTCCAGTAAATCATGAATAAGGAGGCTTCAGTCGAATAAGTGATTGTAATTGATGTGATATTCCATTTTGAATCTTTAATAGTTGTATTTCTCGGTTGCGATTATTACTGTTGTTGTTGTTGCTGTTGTTTTTATCAGCAATAAACATAAATTTTACTATTCTAGAATAAGATATAAACAAGTATTAAATGATTTGTCACAATTTTCATTAGTAATTACTAAGAATAATTCGATTTCTTTTTTATATCCTTTCATTATAATTCACTTCTTTACATTATTTCTAATGTGTATATGTATATGTATATGTGTATATGTGTACTGGATACATTATCATTCTAAAAGTCTTCTGAATATGATCCTTTTTTTCTTCGTTTTATTACAGTATGATATAACTAGTCACTATGTCGTGTTATCACTTGGATACGGAATAAAACTAGTTTACAAATATGGGAATAAAAAGATCTTTTCCAATTTATTGGTCATTTTAAGTCATAAATATAAACAAGAATCAGTGTAAATGTGATTGGTTAATAATTTCAAACATACACACAGACGCACATATGCACACACACACACATACGCACATGTATATATAAAATTTTTCATTTATTTTTTTTCTTCTTTTAATGATTGTGAACAGACATATCAAAACTTGTCTGTCAGTTTATCTAATAATTTATTGGGCAAATAAATCTATTGAATATTTCTTGCCTAGAGGATTATTTAATTAGTTTTTAAGTAGTATATATTCATTTTAGAAAAAAATCTCATAGATCTTATAGAATATTACTTTCACAGATTGAAATCACAAGCCAGACCACTATGGAGAACCTGAAAACACTGGTCGGCCGTTTCGTTCTAGTATGGGACTCCTCAGTGGATTGATTGAAGTTAACATTAACACCATTGGATGTCGGCCGGCTTAGTGGTCTAGTTGGTTAAGCGCCTGGCACGCGACTGATAGGTCCTGGGTTCGAATCTCATGAGGTGCGGGATCATGGATGCGCGCTGCCATGGAGGAGTCCCATACAAGGACGAAACGGCCGTCCAGTGCCTCCAGGTTTTCCATAGTGGTCCAGCTTCCAATGATTCATGATTTCAATCTGTGAAATTTCTATATCTCTACAAACCCCTTCTGAGAATATGAGTTATTAAAACAGAAATTCACAAATGAATTATTACCATATTTTTAGAAAAATATTTTTAAATTTTTTTTAATTATATTAGTGGATTTACTGACTTACTCCCACTAGAGTATAGGCCACTGAACAGTATTTTCCAACTCACTCTGTCCAGGAGCTTCATTTCTAGTTCTATGCAATTATTGTTCATTCTTCTTATGTCTGTCTTCATTTCACGGCGCAATATGTTTTTTGGTCTTCTTCTCCTCCTTTGGCCACGAGGATTCCAAGTGAGGCTTGCCTTGTGACGCAGTTCAATGCTTTCTTCGATGAATGTCTATCCACTTCCAATGCTTTTTTCTCATTTCTTCCTCCAGTGGGATCTGGTTTGTTCTCTCCCATAGTAGGTTGTTGCTGATAGTGTCTGGTCAACGAATCCGAAATATTTTGTATAGACAACTGTTAATAAATACTTATATCTTCTAGATGATGTCTTTCGTAGTTCTCCATGTTTCCGCTTCATATACAGCAGAACTGTCTTGACATTTGTATTAAAAATTCTGACTTTGGTGTTGATTGATAGTTGGTTTGAGTTCCAGATGTTCTTCAGTTGTAAATATTCTACTCTTGTTTTGCCACTCGCTAAAAAAGCGTTAACCAGAAAAAAATTTCATTCTATTAGTGGTTTATATTAATTGACTGAAATAAAAAAAATAAATCTTTTAATGGTTATTTAGTTAATAATCGAATAATTGGCTAATATTCAAAGCTTTTCTAACCAAAGATGGATGATAACTAGCAATGTCATCCAAGATACACGTTTTGTCTTATTTCGATTCCATTGCTAGCCAATATTCATTTTTGCTTAGAATGCTTGCAATTTAAGGCTATATCGAGATAATCCGTACAGCATGCACATATACCAACAAAAGACTGATCAATTGCAATCCTAAACATCAAACAAACGATATAAAACGAATTCAAATCCTTTGTTTAAAGATTTCAAATGAATCGTTTGTTAGTTCTATAAACTTGATATTTAGGATAGATAATCACGTTTCTGTTGTGCTCAACATAAGATTTCTAGAGAAATCCAATGTCTTGATTGATTTTAAAACAATCCATAATATGTTTAATATCTTTATAAAATGTATTAATGATCATAAGAAGGAACAAAATGTATTGAAGAGTGATAATGATTGACAATAATAGAACTGTATTAGATGTGGTCACTTTGATCTTCTCCTTTAATTTATATGATATTAGGAAGAAGAGATTATGGTGCTTGTTATATCCTAGTGAACATTAATTTACGAATAACTTTTGAGAATTACTAGTGGACTAATATTATCTGTATATTCTTATGTGGTAACTATTTAATAATTAGATTGTGTATATCTACATTTCACTTATTATAAGCTTCATTTTGACTTAGAGATTATTATTATACGATTTACTGTTCTTAAGTTATGTTCAGTTTATTAATTACAGTCTCCCACGTTCACAGCCAATTTTCGGCTTGATCTTGTATAAACATTATTTCCTATTTTGTGGTGTAATGAGACCTGTTTGGCTGGTATATAAACCAAGTATGTTTGAAATAAATGATTCGCATAGTGGAAGTTGGTATTGGTAATCTTGACTCAAATGTCAGAGCTAGGAGAACAAAGGTCCAATAAAGACGAAAGCTGCTCATACCAGTCGAACGTCCTTGGTTTAGCACAGTGCGAGAGTGAATAAGTCGTATTTTGATTGCCGAATAAATTACATGATAACTAGCCAACCTTTAAAGTCACAACAATGTTTTTCAACATATTATTTGCTATCTAATTGTTACTGTTTAATAATTACAGTTACTCAACTAAATCTACCTCATAAGCAATAACAACACAGAATATCAATGATGGTAAGTTACAATACCTTACTAGTACTTTCATACTTATGGTACAGGTTAATTGATGACCTCATTCAGAAACTAAATGGTAAATGTGTTGGTTGTTTGAAATAAAAGGTATCTCAGTGTGATGATGAACACGTATACATGTATACCAACTGACAATTATGGAAGAGGACGTTTTATACATCATGGATTGCATTGCTAACCACAATCCATTTCTCTAGTGGTATAGGATGCACATATTACAAGAGAGGTTGCTCAGTTATATACTTATTAAAGCAAAATCAAATTCAATTGTCTTATCCAGGTTAATATTAAAAAGACATTGCGTTGGAATTAATAAAATGCGCTAATATGTAATCATTGCACCAACTTGTCATTTATGGAATAGGCGAGATATTCGTCTACCAACCAAAGGACGTGTTTACTGCGCAGCAGTTCGTCCGTCCTACTTTATGGCAGTGAAACATGGCCGGTAAGAGTAGAGGATATTTGTAGGTTACTAGTATTTGATCATAGGTGTCTTCGAAATATTGCTCGTATATCCTGGAACCATCGAGTAAGTAACACAGTTGTTAGGAAACGGGTGCTAGGTAAGGATGGCAAATCGATTGATGACGTAGTGAAACTTCAGTTGAAATGGCTGGAATATGTGTTACGTAGGCCCAACCACCGACTGCCTCGATATGCGATGTTTTATAGTGTAGGAGTAGGTTGGAAGAAATATAGGGGAGGCCAGACGAAAACATGGCACAAATCCATGAAGTCACTGACAAGTGAACTGAGCCATGATGGTAGGTGTAGACTATTTGGTTGGAATCCGTGAGACGATAGCAACCGACGGTTAGAGACCTTGAATCACATGGCTCAAAATCGTTTGCAATGGCCCAAGTGCATCCACTCTATGTGTTCTCTCAAATTCTAATCTACTGAATTCTTGATGTCCCTTTTTTTCTCCTTCCAAATTTATTTTACCTTATTATACTCCTTGAATAACATATTCAAACACTAATCTTTCCGATTACTACATATACTTTTATTATCTCTATCACTATGGGATTTGAATCGACAATTGTATCTCTGTGCTAATATGATATGACAACTTGAACTGATGTACGTACGTACGGAGTTCTACATTGTTGCTGACTGACTGGCTGTCAGGTTTGAATGCTGGATAAAGAAGGAGAGCTGAGCATATGGATAGCAGCCCCCATTCCATGTTAATGAATTATTTAGACAGTGACTAAATTTCTGTACAACGTACTGATCACTTAAAATAATGTCGAATCCTAGTTGATTCGATGAACGTTTTGTAATACATGAGAAATATACAGTTTGTCATTGTTTAATACCAAACTACGTTGACAAAAATAACTAAGTTTCTTCATTAGTATGGGATCAGGAATAAAATGTATTTCATGTAAAAGTGCTAGGATTGAAGCTATCACGAGTTCACTTAATCTGCGAACGAGAAACAAGACTTGGTGACCAAAGATCAGTAAGCTAGCTATTGATGCGTCCTAGCCTCACTAACCAAAGGGAGAAGTCAAAGCTTGGAATGGCGAAGTATATTCTGCAAACAGCCAGAAACGAGCGATAACAACAAACACAATTCAAAACGTATATCTGCAGTGCAAAACCTTTATTGGGGAGAGTTACCAAATAACATATCAAAAGACACAACGGACCAATAGCATTTAAGATATTTCCCAGTGGGAAATACAACATGAAGGTGACAAGAGCACCTTTGGCGCGAAAACAAAGATATTCAAATTTTCTAAATAACATTACGAAATTAGGTCCTTTCCCAAGTGAGCTCTGGGGATCTAACGTCCCCATCAACAAGAAA